AAAGAGCTGTTAGTTGCCGAAACCGGTTTGGCTCAGTGGATAGAGCGTCGGCCTGCGGACTGAAAGGTCCCAGGTTCGATTCCGGTCAAGGGCATGTACCTGGGTTGCGGGCACATCCCCAGTGGGAGATGTGCAGGAGGCAGCTGGTCAATGTTTCTCTCTCATTGATGTTTCTAACTCTCTGTATCTCTCTCCCTTCCTCTCTGTAAAAAAATCAATAAAATATATTTTTTTAAAAAAAGAGCTGTTAGCTAATGTTACTATTGCACCATGCAGCTCTTGGTGAGGAAGCTGACCTCCTCCAGGAAGCCTCCCGTGATTTCCATGGCTGGGTTGGCAGCAACAATCCTGCATCTGTGCCGAGTGTCTCTCCTATGTCCCGGACACTCTCCCTCCAGGTTCTCTGGGTCCAGAGCAGCCATGTCCTTCCTTGTTCTTGCCATTTTGGAAGGTGGCAAAGTGTGGGCATTGGAGTGAGGAAACCGCCCCCCCCTCCCAACATTGCTCTCCAGCTGTGTGGCCACAGGACAATTGCTTCACCCCTCGGTGCCCCGTTTTCCTCATTCCTGAACGGGATGCTCTTGCTCCAGAGGGTTAGGCGAGGCCCCGTGCGTGAGTGCTCACGCCGTAGCAGGCTCGGCTCCAGTTGATTATCTTGAAACTGCTGAGGTCCTCTCTCAGGTGCCTGAGCTGACGTTGGTTTTTTGGGATGTTTAGAAATTCCTGATGTCCACCAAGTACAACAAGGACTCCAAGATGTACCACGCCATCCAGACTGTGTTTGGTGAGAGGTAAGGCGAGAGGGAGGACCTGGGGGGAGGCCTCTGCCTGGGAGGAGAGGGCTCACGGGCCCCAGAGCCTTGGGGTAGTTAGGGGCCGAGCTCCTGGCTGCCAGGCAACAGCACGTGCCCCAGGCCCGGTGGCCACCGCTCTCGTCATGGGCACCCCCCTTTTCCTCTCTCCCCTCCCAGGGCAGGTGGGAGTGCGGGGGTCGCTGAGACTGGGGCCCATGATCACCTCATTTCTTTTTTGTTTACTTATTGTTTATGGTGGTTAAATTCACATCCGTAAAATCCACCCTGTTAGCCACATTGGAGGTACAATTCAGTGCATGTGGTGTGTTCACAGCGCTGTCCACTCCCAGAACGCTGTCGTCGCCCCAAAGGTGACCCCCTGGCCACCTGGCCGTCAGCCCCGCCCCCCAGCCTCTTCTCTCATCAGTGTCTGTGCCCCACAGGCTGTTTGGCCAAGGCCTGGTGTCCGAGTGTGACCACGAGCGCTGGCACAAGCAGCGGAGAGTCATGGACCTGGCCTTCAGCCGCAGGTGAGCGCGCCGGCGGGCAGCGTGGGTCCTGGCTGGGCAGGGGCGGTGCCGGGCTGCTGGGCTGCTGGGCTGCTGGGCTGCTGGGCGGGGGAGCGGGAGGGGCTCATCCAGGCAGCAGGGACAGAGGGAGGAGGCCGGCCAGTGGGGCGCCAGGCGGAGAGAGGTCCCTATCGGTTTGTGGATATCAGGGTTGTGACAAGGACGTCTGGACGTGTGGGGGTCCCTGCCCCCCGGGAGCTCCCCCCGCGTAGGCCTCATCACTCTCATCTGGGCTTTTTGTTTTATTATAGTTTTCATTTTTGGGTAACATTTTATTTTTTAAGTAACTCACGTTCAGATACAATTCACATACCACGTAATTCACCCATTTACAGGGTGCAACTTAATGGTTTTGAGTATATTCAAAACTTGCACAGCCATCACCGTAGTCAGTTTTAGGGCATTCTCGTCACCCATCCCCCCACCCCCCCCTCTGTGCCCGCAGCTCCTGGCACCCACTCACCTGCTTCCTGTCTCTGGATTTTCATATTCTGGACGTTCCCTATAAATGGAATCACACATATGTGGTCTTTGTGTCTGGCTTCTTTCCCGCAGCATCATGAGGGCCATTCATGCCACATGATGCACCAGAAATGCGTTCCTTTTTATTGTCAGCGACTATTCCACTGTCTCGATGGGCCTCGTTGGCTCATCCGCCCTCATCAGCTGACGGGCACTTGGGTTGTTTCCGGGTTTTGGCTTTTGTGAATCGTGCTGCTCTGAGCATGCATGTGTTAGTGCAAATTTTTGTGCGGACGTACGTTTCCGTTTTTCTTGGGTGTCTCCCCAGGAGCGAGGCTGCTGGGTCACCTGGTAAGTCTGTGTTTAACATTCTGAGGAAGGTTAATCATTTATTTTGATATAACTTTAAATTTGCAGAAAAACTGCCAAGATAATTAATCTAAGGAACTCCTAGGTGTCTTTACCCAGATTCACTTTTTTTAAAAAAATATATTTTATTGATTTTTTACAGAGAGGAAGGGAGAAGGATAGAGAGTTAGAAACATCGATGAGAGAGAAACATCTATCAGCTGCCTCTTGCGCATCCCCTACTGGGGATGTGCCCGCAACCAAGGTACATGCCCTTGACCGGAATCGAACCTGGGACCCTTGAGTCCGAAGGCTGAAGCTCTATCCACTGAGCCAAAGCAGTCAGGGCCCAGATTCACTTTTTAAATCACATTTTTTTATCGTTTCTTCTCTACGTGTAAATATAAACATGCTTACAGTTCTCTCTCTGTATGTATATACATTATTCATATTATTTAATATAGTTCGTATTTTTAAAGCATTTGAGAGTAAGTTGGGGACACTGTGACCCCTTCCCTTAAATATTTCTGTGTGTATTTCCTAAGCACAAGGACTTTCTCTCACATGACTACCGTATAGGTATCAAATGAGGACATGGAACATGCTATCCACACAGTCAGCCTGAATGTGATTGAATAGGAAAAAAGAACAACTACAAGTAATCTTGCACAGAAATAAGCATTTGCAAACCATGCTAGTGTGATGAAGAAGTCGAGGGTGCTGTGGGAGCATTACTGAGCCTACTTGGGGCTCAAGAGACGTTCCCAAAGGAAGTGGCACCTGGGTGTCCATCTGGAGAGTGGACAGGCATAGGTGGTAACGGGCGTGGGGATGGAAGGTGCCTGGGAGGAGAGCTCCGGGCAGAAAGGACAGCATGTGCAAAGGCCCTGAGGTGGGAAGGAACATTGTGCTCTGGAGGAGCTAAAAGGCCACTGTAACAGGAAGGCAATGCTGCAGGTGGCAGTGGGCAGGGGACAGGGTCTGCCTCCTGGTCCAGGTGAGGATTTTTGCCTCCCTCCTAAGAGCGACAGGGTGCTCCCAAGTGGTTTAGGTAAGGGACCCCATCAGAATGGTGCTTCTGTCTGGCCCGGGCCACAGAGGGTAAGACGTGCAGCCAGCGTGGGGTGGGGCCGGGCAGCAGCAGCAGGAGGATGCGGGCCTGTGCCGGAGCGGGAAAGCCAGAGCAGGGCTGGTGGATGGGCAGCGAAGAGCTGATTTTTGTTCCTAATTAAAAAAATGGATCCTTTTTCTCTTCTCCCGTTTTTCTCTTTTTCATGTTTTAAAAAACTTCGTATTTGGAAACTTCACATTTCTAGATACGTTTTAGGAATAAGAATAGGAGAAAGAACAGCCCTATATCCTTTACCCAGATTGTTAACATTAAAAAGCGCCTTTAATTTCAAAAGCAGCACCTTCTGTTAGTAAAAAATCAGAAATGTGTCATGTGCCAAGTGGCGGTCTCCCCCTTCCCACACTCCCCTTGGGGACGCCATGTTTGTGAGTTTGGAGTGTGTCCTTCCACGCGTCTTTCTAAGCTCTAGGCCTGGCCGGTGAGCCGGCTGGCTGTCCCGGGGCCGGGGGCACTGTGTGTTGGGATCCCTGGGTTGCGGACTCATGTCCCTGTGGTCTGGCACTGTGACTGCTCACGGGCAGGGAACGGGACGGGAAAGCCAGGCTGCAGACGGCAGCCCGGGGCAGGGCAGTGCCCGCGGAGAGGTTGGTGGGGAAACTCATGGATTCTGGAGACCGAAGACGCCTCTCCTCCCTTCCTTCCCACTGTCCCATGGCGTTTCTGCTCTGTCACATCGTCTTGAGGTCAGAGCTGAGGGGCCCAATGGCAGAACGAGGGCCCGTGGGGCCGTGTGGACAGGGGCAAAGGGATAGCAGCGGCATCTGAGTGGAGGGGAATGTGAAACCTCAGGGCTCCTTTGTTGTCGGGAACCCAAGCCCGGGAGCTGTGCCTCCCAGGGAGGCCCGGAGGCTGGGAGGGGCCCCACTTCCGCTCTGCACGCTGGCCTCCCGCAGAAGCCCTGGGCTGGTCCTCGGCCGCTGACCCGTGTGCTGTTTCCCCAGCTCCTTGGTCAGCCTGATGGAGACATTCAACGAGAAAGCGGAGCAGCTGGTGGAGATCCTGGAGGCCAAGGCGGACGGGCAGACCCCGGTGTCCATGCAGGAGATGCTGACCTGCACCACCATGGACATCCTGGCCAAGGTGAGGGGTGGACGGCCCCCTACTCCTCCCCACCCCGGGGCAGAGGGCTCCTCTTCCCTCCCTCTTCCCCTTCCTTGCCTTCCTCCTCTCCCTGCTGCTCCCCCATGCCATCGGCCCCTTCTCTGGGCCAAGCGCTTCGTGTCTCCTTAACTATTCCAAACAACCCAGCGTGAGACGGGAGCCGCTAGCTCATTCTCTAGAAATGGACACCGAGAGGGGTGGGCACAGGCCGAGGCTGGTCAGGGGCAGAAGCAGGACTGGCTCTGAGGTCTGCCGTCCTCCCGGCCCAAAGCCCACCTGCCCCTCAGCTCCCCGTGGGGTAGCGGCTTGGCTGTTGACCCCGGCAGACCCAGCAGTGGCCCAGGTAGCCCCAAACCTAGGGGAAGGCAGGCCAGGCAGCTGGGGTGTAGGGACAGGGAGTGAAGCATCGTTGTCATTCAGCCATTCCCCGGGCAGCTGGGTGCAGAGTGGACGCCCACGGGAGGCTGTGTCTCAGGGGCCATGCGTCGTGTCAAGGAAGGAGTCGAGGTTTACTTAGTGGTTACTCTCTGCGACATAATTCTCACCACATTCAACGGGGTTGAAGTATGGCTCATGGCAGGGAGTCTGCGACCCGATACAGGCCAGTCCTTGGCCCAGGGTCTGGGTCTCCAGCTGAACGGTGCCCGGCTCTGCCCTGGGCTTCGGTCCTCCCCTCCCCAGGTCTGAGCCCGGCTGCTCTCTCCCCAGGCAGCCTTTGGCATGGAGACTGGCATGCTGCTGGGCGCCCAGAAGCCTCTGTCCGGGAAGGTGAAGCTGATCCTGGAGGGCATCACTGCCTCCCGCAACACCCTAGCGAAGGTGCGGCCCCGCACCCCCCGGCGGCCAGCCGCCCGCGTGGGGGTCCTCCTTTGCTGGGGCGCCTCCTCCAGGGATTTTTCCAGAATGAGTTCTGAGTTCCGGTTTGTAGATGTGAAGTGACTTCCACTCAGTTAGGATTTGCATACGTTGCCTCAAGGGGAGGCTCGGAATGAAAGTGGATTATGTAAATTAGGAGTGACCTTTCTCTCATGTAAATGACCCCCTGGAACAGGCACTCCGTGATGGCTAGGATGGCTCCACAATGTCAGAGGTTCCTGGATTTTCTTTCTCTTTTTTTAAAAAATATATTTTTATTGATTTCAGAGAGGCAGGGAGAGGGAGAGAGAGATAGAAACATCAATGATGAGAGAGAATCATTGATTGGCTGCCTCTTGCATGCCCCCAACTGGGGATCCAGCCTGCAACCCAGGCATGTGCCCTTGACTGGAATCGAACCCGGGACCCTACAGTCTGCAGCTCTATCCACTGAGCCGAACTGGCTAGGGCTGGATTTTCTTATTGCTCTACTGTCTCCAGCACATCGCCTCATTGTCATACGATGGCTGCTGCAGCTCCAGCTGTCACCCCTGGTTCCAGGCTTGAAGGAGGACGAAGGGAGAAAGTGGTGCTTGAGCTGATTCTCAGACCGATGCCCGGGGCCCCCTCCATTCCCCGAGGCTCAGCCTCTGAGTTTGCAGCCCTCTGACGCCCCCCCATTTTTTCAGCCGCTGATTCCAGCTCCCTGCCCGCTGGCTGTGGTGTCCTCCTGACTGCAGTCCTAGCTGCCTCCATCCTTCAGGGACCCCTTACCTTTTCAGGGCATCTCTCCCATTGTTTTTAGGGGTTTGGTGCGGGGAGGGGAAGCCGATGCATGCTTGGGCCTAGCCTGCCTTCGGGACCTGTCTCCCTGGCGCCGTTATCTTTTCTGACATGTCCTCGCATTCTCCCCACCTCCCAGCTTGCCGGTGGATGTATGGTCCTTTGGGAGCTGGGGTAGGCGGGGTGGTGGGCGGGGGCAGCGGGGGCGTGCCGTGGTCCGTCCTGAGCTGGGGCTCTTGTTTAGTTCATGCCCGGGAAGTGGAAGCAGCTCCGGGAGATCCGGGAGAGCGTCCGCTTTCTGCGCCAGGTGGGCAAGGACTGGGTGCAGCGCCGCCGGGAGGCCCTGAAGCGGGGCGAGGCCGTCCCTGCGGACATCCTCACGCAGATCCTCAAAGGTGGGGAGCCCTCTGCGAGGGCGGGTGGCCGGGGCGCCTCCTGACAAGGCGACTGTCCTTTGGGTCTTGGGAAAGGGAATGTGAGTGTGGCAGACGCTGCCACCGGGCCCTGAGCCGCTGCTTGTCTTTCAGCCGAAGAGGGCGCCCAGGACGACGAGGTTCTGCTGGACAACTTCGTCACCTTCTTCATTGCCGGTTCGTAGCTGCATCGCGACCAAGGGCCCGGAGCTCTGCAGGAACGATGGGAACGATGGGAACGATGGGTCCCTGGAATCCGGACTCTGGGAGGTTTTCCTGGCTGTCTGAGCAGAGTCAGGCTGTGGAATTGGGGGGCTGGGCCGAGGGGAGCGAAGCCTCTCTATGCCTAGGGGGGTCCAGGAGGCCCTCTTGGTGGCATCTGACCTGTTAATGGTGCTGGCAGTCCTGGGGATGCGTGAAGCTGCCCTTTTGGGCTCAGGAGAGCTTGGCCGTGTGAATTCATGTTTCCACCTCACTCAGAATTGGGGATGGGGGGGCAGCCTCATTCATTGCTCATCAAATATTTGTTGAGCATCGATCTTCACCTGGAAAACTCCTCCTCACTCCTCAGGACCCCCAGGTGCTTCTTCCCTGGGGAAGCCCTCCGGGATTGCCCAGGCACATCAGGCCCCCCGGGAGCTCTCCATGGTGCCCAGAGCTCCTCTGCCCACACGTCTCACAGTTTAAGTTGCGTATTTGTTGGTGTGATTCGACCAACGAGATGCGCTCTGGGACCTCAGAGAGACACATTGGTCTCAGCCTCAGCTTTCTCTTCTGCAAAATGGGGATGGACACCCCCTCAGGCCAGGCCAGGCCCAGGGATGGTTGGAGGAAGGGGTTTTAGAGTGTGAGCACCGGATGCCCTTTATCGGACCACACTGGCTGGCATCAGGTGACGTGAAGTGGGCAGGTGTCCCTTTATATCCGTGTGCCCAGCTCAACCCTAGGGAGCAGAGGCGAGGGCCTGAGCTGCCACCAGGGGCTTGGGGTCTCAGAAGCCGGACAGCAGCCACTCTATGATCCCGTGTGGAGCTGCCACTCTCCTCCTTTCCTGCAGGTCACGAGACGTCCGCCAATCACTTGGCATTCACGGTGATGGAGCTGTCACGCCAGCCCGAGATCTTGGCAAGGTACGGAGAGGGGGCCAGGGGGTGGGGGGCTTTCCTTGATGTTGGTGAAGGGGTTTGTCCAATGTCTTATTCCTCGAGGACCACCTGCTCCCACCGCCCTTGGCTGAGCCCTCTGCATTGTGTCCTGCTTCTCTTCACCCCAGGGCCTTTGCACATGCTGTTCCTGCCTCTGGAAGCTCTTCTCCCTTCTTTTCTCCTAGAAAACAGCAACTCTTTCTTCTCCTCCTCCTCCTCCCTTCCTCCTCCTCCACCTCCTCCTCCTCCTCCTCCTCCTCCTCCCCTTCTCCTTCACCTACTTCTCAGACCCCTAAAGTAGCCACTAGCCACCTCCCAGCTCATAAATGCATTTTCTCCTGGGACTGTTTGCTTCAAGTTTTTTTCAGTCATGGAACTGGAAGCCCCGACTCCAGGGACCATGGCTCTTTCCCTCCCCACGGGTACTTAGTGCCTGGCCAGGGGCTGCCTGTGAGGCCTGCACAGAATTCTAAGTAAAGTGCCGAGGGGGCGCCCATCTTCAGCTGGCAGGAAAGGGGGGATGCCTAGGCAGATGGCATCTGAGTGGGCCATTGGCTTCCTTAAGTACAAACAGGTTCCCCCAAAGACTGAGCCAAATGTGAGAGTGCTCTAAAAATGCCAGGCAATGTCAGTGAGCATGCCGTCACCCACATATCATGGCAGGGAGGTTGCTGGGGCAGTGAGGAGAGGCCTGCGGTTAGTGGTTATCATGGCATAAAAGGGCAGTGGGAATGGCTTCTTGAGAACATGAAATAATTTATTAGGTTTCTAAAAGGATATGCTCTTTATAAAAAAAATTTGGAAAAGAGCAAAAAAGTTAAAACAACAACATTAATAATCTATATATATAAAAGCCTAAGTGAACAGCCACCCAGCTGACCATTTGACCATCCGACTGGTAGCTATAACATGCACTGACCACCAGGGGGCAGATGCTCAATGCAGGAGCGAAAACCACAGGCATGGAAACATGGAACAGACTGATGAATCCCAGAGGGAAGAAGGGAGGGGGGAGGGACCAAAGATCTTATATGCATACTAAAAGATCTTATATGCATACTAGAGGCCCAGTGCATGGATTTGTGCAGTGATGGGGTCCCTCTAGTAATAATAATAATAATAATAATAATAATAATAATAAATCTGTGCACCGGGCCTCTAGTAATAATAATAATCTTATGTAATAAAAGTGTAATATGCAAATTGACCCTAACAGCGGAACGACTGGTCGCTATGATGCAGGGAGCAGGCCTAAGCCATCAGTTGGACATCCCCTGAGGGCTCCTGGGCTGCCAGTGGGATGTCTGACTGCCAGCTTAGGCCCGATCCCCCTGGGGAATGGGCCTTCGCTGGCAGGTGGACATCCCCTGAGGGCTTCCGGACTGCAAGGGGGTGCAGGCTGGGCTGAGGGACCCCCTCTCCAGTGCACAAATTTTCATGCACCAGGCCTCTAGTAATAATAATAAATCTGTCCATGGTGGCCCCACCCTTCCAGAGACAGTTCATGGTTAACTACTGAATTTCACCATGTATTTTGCCACGACATCACCCCATGTTATTGTAACCTCTTCTCAAATCCACTTTTTAGAAATGTCATGGTAAAGTACACATATATAACATAAAATAGACCGTTTTAACTGTTTTTTTAAAAATATATTTTATTGATTTTTTACAGAGAGAAAGGGAGAGGGATAGAGAGTCAGAAACATCGATGAGAGAGAAACATTGATCAGCTGCCTCCTGCACGCCCCCCACTGGGGATGTGCCCGCAACCAAGGTACATGCCCTTGACCGGAATCGAACCTGGGACTGTTCAGTCCGCAGGCCGACGCTCTATCCACTGAGCCAAACTGGTCAGGGCCATTTTAACTGTTTTAACTGCAGCTCAGGGGCCTTAAGTGGATTCACATCGCCACGTACCCATCCCCCCATCATCCCCAGAACCTTCCCATCTTCCCAAACGCAAACTCTGTCCCCATCACACAAGAACTCCCACCTCCTCTTCCCAAGCTCTGGTGGCCCCCATTCTACCTACTGCCTAGCACCCGAGTTCTCCAGGTACTGCATGGATGGGGGGGCATGCACTGTTTGTCCCGTGTGACCGGCTGTTTCACTCAAGATCCTGCCCTCGAGGTGCGTCCACGCGGGAGCAGGTGTCAGGACGTCCTTCCTTCTTACGGCTGAGTCCTCTTCCACTGTGTGGCTGGGCCATTCTTGTGGAGGCATCTGTGGACGTGAGGTTGCCTCTGCCTTTTGGCTGCGGTGAATAACGCTGCTACAAACATGAGTGCTCAGAGATTTATTTGTACTTTCAGTTCCCCTGGGTGCACACCCGGAGGTGGGATTGCGGGGTCAGATGCTAATTCCATGCTCATTTTTGAGGAACTGCCCTACCATTTTCCACCATTTACCTTCCCACCCACCAGGGTTCTGGCTTCTCCAATCTGCCACCTTGTTCTCCTCTGTCGTTGACAACAGCCCTTCCAGTGGGTGTGGGGGGCCCATACCCACTCCTAGTGCCACATGTTCTCCTAATGGGCGCGCCCCCAGGCTTCCTCGCCAGGTCCCTGCACCTCGCATTCCGCTGTCTCCCTGGGCTGAGGGGCGCCTGTGTGCAAAGCCCTCGCTCGGGGTGCGTTGATTTCCTGCAGCTGGTTCCCAGCGGCGAACACAGAGGGTGAACGTTGTAAAGAGCCTGGGACACGGCTCCCATTGCTTGGGCTCCTTGGTTTGGACATGGCAGTTCCGGGATGTCTTAAACAATGCGGGGGGCAGTGTTCAAGGTGGGGCACCCCAACCTCTCTGCAGGCTTCCTTCCACCCCCCCCTTCTTAAAACTCTGTCCTTGGAGAGGAACTTGTCTTTGACCCCACAGGCTGCAGGCCGAGGTGGACGAGGTCATCGGCTCTAAGCGGCACCTGGACTACGAGGACCTGGGGAGGCTGCAGTACCTGTCCCAGGTGTGGGGGGCGGGCGGGGGGGGGCGGGCGCTTCAGGGCAGATGCGGGGGACTCGTGGGTTTAGGCCTGCAGCTGCCCTAACCCATTAGAATGGGGTTCTCTGACCTCGCTGCTCATGGGAGCCCCTGGGAGACTAAAACAGCCCCACAACAGGCTGCCCCGGACCAAGGACACCACGGTCGCTGGGGGCGGCCCCGGGCAGCCGCGTGAGCAGGCTTCGCAGGTAACGCCAGGATGCAGCCGAGGTCGGAAACAGCGCGCCCTGAGTGGAGCTGGGTTTGCACGCCCGACTCGGCCGGAGATCCACAGGCCCGAGCTTCCGCTGGGAGCAGGCCCAGCACCCCTCCCCTGGAAGACAGAGCAGGGGGCCTCGCCTGGGCCGTGGGGACTCAGGATGGAGGGACCCCAGTGCAGAGGGAGGTCTGGCTCCCGGTCCGGGCTCTGCTGCTATGGCTTTGCCAAACCCCCTTCTCCTTCTGGGCCTCAGTTTCTCCTTCGGTCGAATGAGGGTGGAACACAAAGGTGAAGGTCACTCTGCAGGGGTCCGGGACCCAGTCCTGGACTCAGGGGCGCAGTCAGTGCCGGGAGTGGGAGCAGAGGTGGGGCTGGGCTGTGTCCCCTGGGGTCTCCCCTTCCTCTCACTTCCCCCGCGTGTGGCTCTGCAGGTCCTCAAAGAGTCGCTGAGGCTGTACCCGCCTGCGTGGGGCACCTTTCGCCTGCTGGAGGAGGAGACCCTGATTGACGGGGTCAGAGTCCCGGGCAACACCCCGCTCCTGGTGCGTGGGGCCCTGCCTGCCTGCCCCGCGGTGGCTGATGTGGGCGCCCTTCTGAGGTGGGGCGGGGGGTCCGTGGCCCCGTTCTCCTCACTGGCTGCCCTGTGTGTTCTCATCCGGGTCTCGCTGTAACCCCATGAGGTCTTTCTCTCCCCTTCACACTGTCCTGTTTAGATTACAGGGGTGCCCCACTGGACAGGGTGCCCCACTCCCAGCTGAGGGCGCTGAGGTGCAGAGAGGTGATTCGTCTTGTGTAAGAAAGAAACCCTTCCCTATCCTGAGCTCGGCACACCCACTGACATTGCCTTCTAAGTTCATTTATTTATTTACTAGTCTCACCCGAGGACATTTTTCCAGTGCTTTTTAGAGAGAGAGGGAGAGAGAGGGAAAGACAGCTAGAAATATCGATGTGAGAGAAATACATTGATTAGTTGCCTCCAGGGCCCGGGCCGGGGAGGAGCCTGCAACCAAGGTACGTGCCCTTGACCAGAATCGAACCCAGGGCCCTTCAGTCTGCAGGCCAACGCTCTATCCACTGAGCCAAACCGGCCAGGGCTGTCTTCTAAGTTTACATTTTTCTTTTGAAAGTGAGGTTTTTGTCTACGTGGACTTGACCCTGTGTATGGTGTGAGGTAGGGAGGCCTATTCGTCAGCTGGGGTTGCCATAACACAGCACCACCGCCGGGGGCTCACACAGCAGAAACATACTGTCTCGCAGGTCAGGAGGCTGGAAGTCGGAGAGCAAGGTGCCAGTAGGGCTGGGCTCTGAGCCCGTCTCCTTGGCTTGCGGGTGGCCTCATATGGCCCCTTCTCTCTCTCTCTCTCTCTCTCTCTCCTCGTCTCCTCTTCCTATAAGGACACCAGTCGAATTGGATTAGGGTCCACCCTAATGACCTCAGAGTAACTTTGTTACCTCGTCTAAGACCTATCTCCAAACACAGTCACATTCTGAGGTCAGGACTTCAGGATATGAATTTTAGGGGGACACACCTCAGCCCATAAAGGGACCCAGTTTTGTTTTTATCTATTTTTATGGAGAATCCCCGGAATCCAGCCCTATGCACCGAGCACCCCTTTCCCCAGGGCTCGGCCACACCTTCTCAGCACGCATCAAAGCTTCATCCGTGTGCACATGCATGTGTGTGTGTGTGTGTGTGTGTGTGTGTGTTTCTTCTGTTCATCTGCCTTAGTGACCATCTCTTTGGAAGGCCTTCTCATCTGGCAGGCCAGGGCCCCGTGGCTGGCTCTCAATCCAGGGACGCAGCCCTGTGGGCCTTAGTAGGCAGACGTGCCCAGTTGGGTCACCTCAGGGGAGACCCCGGATCCCCGGGCCTCAGTGCCACCTTGTAAGATGGGGTTGGTGGCCACAGTTTACTGACAAGAGTCGACAGGATAACGTACATCACTTGTTCGGCCAAAACCCCTGGCACGGAGTCAGCGCCCTTTGCTGCCTGAGACCCCTCCCTGCCTGACGCTCCCCCTCACTTTTCAGAGCTCAGTCCCAGGCCCGTCTCCATCCTCGAGACAGAGCCAGGGCAGAGCGGCTGAGGGACTCTGTGCAGGGTCAAGAGGCAGAGGCTGGCACCGGGCCGGTTGTGGGGGCACGCCTGGCCCCTGGGGGCAGGGCACGGAGCATCAGGGTGATCAGGAGGCTCCATGAGGGCAGGTGGAAGGCTGGGGGGCCTGCAGCTCCCAACCCAGGCAAGCCTGGTGTTGAACAGAATGGCTCTCAGGATGGGGAGAGAGACGGCCTCGCAGCAGACCTGAGTTTGAATCTCAGTTTGGCCATTTGCTGGTCAGGTGACTTCAGGCAAATCACGAACCTCTCTGAGCCTCGCTTCCTCATCTGAAAATAGGGGTCAGAGTCACGCTCCCACGGGTGGGCCGGCGTGGGACGACACAGCACACCAGGTGGTGGTCGGGGCACGTTGGCCACCCCCTTTCTTCCTCTTAGAGACTTTCCAGGGGCCAATGGGGTCCCAGATGGGTGGGTGGGGAGATGGGTGTGTGTGGAGGGATGGATGGGTGGAGTAGAGCAGGAGTGGGGGCTTGGGAGACTACTCTGCTCCAAACCACCCCACTGGGAGCCGCAGCAGGTGGGGGAGGTGCGAGGGTTCTGATTCTTGGAGCCAGAGACAAGCGTAGCCTCTGCCCGGCAGTTCAGCACCTACGTCATGGGCCGGATGGACACGTACTTTGAGGACCCGCTGACCTTCAACCCAGATCGCTTCGGCCCCAAAGCACCCAAGTAAGTCTCCCTGTGAGCCGTCCGTGAGGGAGGCCTGGCGGGACAAGGACGGTCCTGGGGCCTCTGGTCTGAGCTGCCCGTGCCCACCGAGCCCATGTAGCCTTCCAGATCCACGTGAGGGAGCTGTCACCCTCACCGTGCCCCCTCTTACAGGGAGGAAATCACAGCTCAGAGAGCTCAGCCCGAGGGTGCACAGCCCCTAAGTGGCAGAGCTGGGAATTGAGCCCAGCTCAGACTGGTTCTAAAGCCCATATTATAACCAGTCCTGACACTGGGAAGCCCCTGGGCAAGTGACTGCACCTCCCTTGGCCTTGATGTTCCTATCTGAGAAATGGGAACACCGCTGGCTCCTTCTGGGGGAGTGAATAGGCGAAAGGGCTGAAGCAATGCTGGGGCCAGGCTCCAGGGACAGACCCCCTGAGTCCAGACCCAGGATGCCCAGAGCTGGATGTGTGACCGGCCCAATGACAAGTGACAAGGGGCCTCGGGCGGGCTGCTCTGCCCCTCTGAGCCTCAGTTCCTCCATCTGTGAAGTGGGGATAATGACGGCTCCTCCAGGGCTCAGAGGAGGATGCGTGAGAAAATGCCGAGCGAGCGCAGCAGAGGCAGCTGCTGTGTTCAGTGTGTGCAAACCCCAGTCCGCCCCTCGAGGGCACCGTCTGCTGACGCCTCTCTCCCCACAGGCCGCGGTTCACCTACTTCCCCTTCTCGCTGGGCCCGCGCTCCTGCATCGGGCAGCAGTTTGCTCAGGTAGGAGCCAGGGCTGCGGAGGGACTGCAGGGGTGGGGTCTTGATCTGGGCCAGGACGCAGTCGGAGCCCTGCCCCGCCCGGGCTGCCCTGGCCGGGGGCTGGGCACCCAGTGTCCATGCCTTTGTGCTCACTGACTCCCACTCTCCCCCACCCCCACATGCGCAGATGGAGGTGAAGGTGGTGATGGCCAAGCTGCTGCAGAGGCTGGAGTTCCGGCTGGTGCCCGGGCAGCGGTTCGGGGTGCAGGAACAGGCCACACTCAAGCCACTGGACCCCGTGCTCTGCACCCTGCAGCCCCGGGGCTGGCAGCCCGCGCCCCCGCCCCCGCCCTGCTGAGGCACCTGGGGCAGAATCGGACTCCTTGGGCAGGGGCCGCACCCACCCTCCTCTGCAACCCACTGCCACCAGCCTGCTCCCTGTCCTCTTCCTCGGGGGGCCTCCACGCCAGCTCCCAGAGGGCCTTCTCCCAACCACCTCCTGCTTCACGCCCCTCAGAGCTCCCTGTCCGCTGCTAATCCACTGCCCTTCCTGGACCAGCCCCTGCCTAACTCCCAGCTGCCTCCCAAATGTGCCATCGTCCCCCCAACCCCACCCCACTCTGCACAGGCCACTCCCTCTGCCAGACACCCTAACTCTTGCTTACTCCCTAAAACCCTCCTCAGGTGTCACCTCCTCCAGGAAGCCCTCCCTGCCACCCCCGGCCGGGCCAGGGGCCCCTCCTCTGTGCTTCCTTGGTCACCTGTGCTACCTCTAACACCACACTGACCACTGTTTCGTGAGCGCCCTTCGAAGTGACCGACCACCCTTTCAGGCTGTGAGCGCCTCAAGCGCGGGGTCTGTGTGTGATTCGTCTCTGAGGCCCCCATGCCCACCGAGGGCCTGGCACAGAGTCGACGCTCAATAAATATGTGTTGACTGCATGAATGACCGGCCACACCAGGCCAGGGTGCTCTGCCCTCAGTTTGCTCATCTGTAAAGTGGGGGTGGTGTTGAGGCCCGTCTCTCTAAGGGCTGGCACTGCTCTGGAAGTTGCCCCTGGAGAGGCCCAGACACCGTGCCCTCGGGACAAAACTGCCCAGGTTACTGGGAGGGCCCCGTGTTAGCAGACACCTGCCCTTGTTACACGCGAGGCCGTGCTCCTGGGTGCGGCGTGAGGCTGGGATTGTAGGCAGGGTTTGGAGAGCCTGATGTGAGAGGGCCGGGGGTGGGGGCCGGAGGTGGGGGCTGGGGGCCGGGGGCCGGGGCCTGTGCAGTCTGGTCTACTCCCAACCAGGCCACTGGCTCAGAGGCTGGACCCCTGTCCTCTCAGGGAATTGGTGGAGCCAAGCACCTGGGTGCCTGGCCTCACCCCCCTGACATCCTCTTCACCTGCTGCCACAACGCTGCCCCTCCCAGCCTGGTCAGAGGAGGCCAGCGTGGGCCAGACCCAGGTGGTGGGACTGCCGCCCTCACAATGGTGGGGGGTGAAGAAGCTGCCCGCCTCCCCAGGGCCCCCG